TATACTTTTTGGTATCTTTGGAACTTGGAAACTTTTCCAAGTAAGCCTTTGGTACTCCTTAAGAATTGAGTTACAGTGGGAGGCTCAGTGTGGTAAAGCAGTTTAAAAGCATACGTGAAATCATATCAGTGGTAGTGTTTTAGTAGTTTCATTTTAATGCTCCTTACCCTGGAATTTTATGTAAGAGAAACTCCTCACAGACACTCTTTTAATCAGATACCATCGTAGATTGGAGAACTTCAGACATAAGTTCTCCATGCTTTTCTTTCTCCCATAGTAACACATTCTTTTACCTTTACTTCTATCTTCTCAGTTTGCTGTGTTATTCCAGTAGAACTGTCTCCATTTCAGGGTAGTCTTACCTGTCAGTCTGTGCTCTGAGTCATACTTTTTTCCAATTTAGAAAAGATTGATTCTGTGAATATCCATCTCATGTTAGTAAGTTCTCTCTTTCATCTCTTCCTTTTAGCATTTAAGAGTGTTTTTGTCTTATAACAGGTGTTATGATCTTACTGATATGGGGAGAAGTTCATCCACATCTTCATTGGGAAGTTACTATTTCATTCCTCACTTAATGGGCACATAAATTATTTCCAAAATCTAGCTGTTACCAATTGGCTGCTATAAACATGGGTGCACATATATCACTGTGATACAATGTTTTTAATTCTTTTTTTTTTTTTTGTCTTTTTCGTTTTTTATTGGTACCAGGGATCAAACTCACGACTGCCTGCTTACAAGGCAGGCGCTTATGCCGCTGAGCTAAATCTCCAGCCCCTATTTTTAGTTCTTTTAGGAAGACACCCAGAACAGGAATAGCTGGGTTGAATGGGACCTCTAGACCTAGTTTTTTGAGGAATCTCCACACTAATTTCCACAGTGGTTACATCAGTCTGCATTCCCACTAACAGTGGAGAAGAGTTCCTTTTCTCCGTAGGCAGTTGCTCAATCATGAAAGTTCTTCTTTCAAAGAGTTGAGTCTTTTTTTTTGGGGGGGGGGTCTTTTTCCTTTTTTATCGGTACCGGGGATCGAACTCAAGACTGCCTGTTTGCAAGGTCTTATTGATAGTAAAGAATTACACTTCTGTAGAGATACTCTGATACCCTACTATAGGAATATGATCTGATTCTGCTTAGAAGATGGAAGACAGGGAAAAGATTGAGTAGCCTTCTGTGTGGGTTTTTTTTTTTTTTTTTTTTTTTGGTGCTGGGGACCAAAGTCACGACCTCCTCACACTTGCCAGGCAGGCGCTTATTCCTGCTGAGCTAAATCCCTGGCCCCATTGACCAGCCTTCTGAAAGGGGAGACATTTAGTTAGTAGCTTGAAGGACAAGGAGAAGCTACCAAGGCAGAGTGAAAGGCATATTCCAGAAAAGAATGCTTATATTCCTTAGCAAATTACTGTTATTTTTCAAGTAACTTCTACCTGGTGTGATATTAAGTAGCATTAGAAGTAGTTGTGTATGGTCTCTATCCCCAGTGGGGAGGGAATAGTTGAGAGAGAAAGGAGAGGCTGGAAAGCTTAGGCCTATGATCCAATTATGTATATGAAGCAGCATGTAAAATGCCAAATTGAGGTTAGAGAGGGATTAATAAGAGAATACAAGCTAAAGTAGTTGTAAATTATTTAGATTGAGTAAAATAGGAGGAAGGGAGACATTGAAAATAGTTGGGCATAATGATGTGAAAGCAGTGTTGACAGATTTCTTTGAAATATTTGCGTAGACCTGAGGTGATTAGCAGGGAGGGATGGTGAGGAACCAAGAGTCCAGGAGGTCAGCTAGGAAGCTTATGGAATAAGGTGAAGTAATGAGGGCCTGACATTTCTTAACTAGATTTCCATAACCAGATTCCTCAGAGCTTTCCATGCTGTTTTTAAATTTACCACCATCTGTTCTCTTCTACAAGTGGGTTTCTGTCATCACCATTCCAGTAATAGGTTTCCTTCTAAAGTTACTGGTGATCTGGCCAAATCTAATGGTAGTCTTTTGTGTTTTGCTTAATGGGAAATTACTTAATCACCAGCATAAGCACTAACATTGGAAGCACTTTTTGCCTCACAAGCAAGAATATATAAAATTTAATTATTTGCATACAAAGCAAGAGTTTCATGTTTTTGGTTTGAGACATTTTTTAGTGAATTTAAAATTTGCTCTAGTAGAACAGATGAACATGAGCACAATAACATAATCCTTACATAAATGTCTTTGAAAACTAGGGACCTTTTCTTTCTGTTTACATTTTGACTTTCTTTAAGGCTTTATTGAAGTTCTTTCTTTACTTGTTTCAAAATGGTTGTCCATATTATTATTTCCCTTTTCTGAACTTACAGCACCCAAAGCTCAGTCTTATTCTTTGATTCATTTTTTTCTTGTATTTGTGGTTCCTGATTTGGACTATAGATATTTTCCTCCTACATAGCTCTGTACACATACACTTACAGATTCCTGTTAAATGTATAGATTCCTGTTAAACGTTAAAATTTAAAAATTTTATTTTGCTAAGACTCTTAAAGGGCCTCATTATTTACACTTGTGGAAGGGAACAGAAGGTAAAGGTGGTTTTCAGTAGGGAGTATCTGCAATAAGAATTATATTCCAGTTTGAAACATGCTCCTGTATTAAGTTTGAAAACATATAAACGTGGTACTTTGCCAGTTTGGACAACGTAAAGCTCTACCAGAGATTTGATTAAGGCAAATAGGTTGATAATACGGTATAGTAATAGCCAGTGTTTATTGTGAATGTTTATTCACAGGTACACACTATGAATGAAGTATAAATAATAGTATTATCACCTCCACCCCAGTACTTAATAGTCATTAAACATTGTCTGGAAATGTTCTGAGTGCTTTATTTCTATATCTTGTAGGTACTGTTTTAATTATCTTCCTCATTTTACAGATGAAGTATGGTAGAAAAGGATTGGGAACCAAGAGATCTGATTAAAATCAGTTTTAGTTCTCCTAGATAGTTTGAAATTGGATGAGCCTTTAACTTTAGTGTGCCTTAATTTTGCATCTTTAAATTGAGATTAGTTACAATCTCTGGAGTACTTTCCTACTCATTTGATATTGTATGATCTGTAAATATCTTGTCTGTTTATTCTCAAGTCCTTACAACTTTATGATTGGATTGGTCATTCCTGACTATTACTGTAGAATAATATGTCTTTTCTTTTTTTTTAATTTGTGAAGGTGCTATTTGGGGAAATTTAAAGTTCAGGTTTCAAAGAAATGTATATGCTAAAGAAGGAGAGTTGAGAAGATTAGGAAGGCAAAACTGAATCAGAATATCAGAAAAGCAAAATAATAATGCAGCTCTTCACTGGCAATGTAGGGAGAATCCTCATAGCTGTCTCTTAATTTATAATTGCTGTTGCCTAATCTAGTTTACCTTATTGTACATTCGTTTTCCCCAAGTTACTCCTAGACCAATATTATTAATGAACACTTATTGAATATTTTCTCTGGGCATATGTCAATGCATTTAATTTTCAAAGTAATATTTTAACCGTAGGTGATATTACTGTTTTATTTTACAGGTAAAAAAAATGCAATATTGGGAGATAATGAACATTTTTACAGTTCTGCAACTAACAGCTGCTGGAGGCTATATTTGAATTTTGATCTCACTGATCCCAAAGCCTGTCTTCTTTATTGTTAATTCTATATTGCCTCCTAGAAGTTCATATTCTATTTCAAGTATTGCAGGGTAATTTTTGCTGGGAGCCATTTGGGATGAGGGGCCTATATACAATTTTCTTAGCCAAAATTTTTAGGGGGTGCATTCCTGGGGATTGAACTCAGAGCCTTGCCAAATACTTGGTGAGCTCACTCTCACAAAGCTGCATGCTCAGTCCCAAATGCTTTCTTTTGACTAAGATGCTTTACTTTCTTTTCCCCTTAATTTTGATACCACTTACAAACCTTTTTTATTCTTCTCTGCTGTTTTTCCATGGTTATGATTCCTGTTTCTTTGATCCCAGGATATAAGGGCTTACATGTCTGCTGAAACTTAACAATTTCAGTGTGAGCTGTCAGGCTTTCTTTCTGTATTCTCATCTTTAATTCTCAAAATAGTTTTTCTAGAATATATGTTAACTCTGCAGATTTTATATTATTTTCTTCGAGTGGTAACAGTCTGAATATTTTAGCCTTGAAGATAAATATATTAGTGAATCTAGATTACTGGACATTTGCCCAAGCCTGTCATTGAGCTTGAAATGCTGCTTTTCTCTCTGGCCATTTATCTGATTTAATCTCTTTTATACTCCCAGATCTTTAATTAGTTTTTATAAGCTGGTTTCTTTGCTTTTTTTTTTAATTACTGCCTGGTACTGCCTCTCCTCCTTTTCATATGCTCACCAGTGTCCTTGACTTTGCATTCCTCTTTTCTCTTAACTCCCCCAGCTAGGTTGTCTTTTTGCTATTCTTGTCTGTGCTGGTTTACTCTTCCTACCTCCCACCTGCTCAGTATCTTTTTTTGCTCCATGCAAATTCTATTTCTCAATTACCTTTCTGACTTTATGCCTCTAGCTTACTTTTGGTACTCTTTTGTTGGTATGAGTCCCCTAAAATTTGCATAAAAGAAATTGAGGTACAGATGGATAGTCTTAAGTTTTTAAGGGCTTGTGGTAGTTTGGTGAGTAAAGAGCTGTACTGCAGACCAAGTTTTGTGTACCAAGATCTTGTTGCCCTATTAAAGTGGCAGACATTCTTTTGCAGAAAGATTACCATCAACACCACTTTGTGTATATGTATTATAAACACTTTCAAAATGTGTTTGTTATGTTTTGAAGAGAAGCAAATTAAGAAAAAAGATTGGAAATGTTGATCCTTTAAATACTTGGTTTGGTCATTAACATACTCAATCTTTTTCCTCCAGATTTAACTCAGACTTTCCCTCACTTTGGAACAACTAGATTTGTGAATATTGGATTCTTTTGAGAAGCAGGGGGTCTTTCATTGATACTGACTAAGGAGTCTATTTACCTTCAGGATGACATCTGAACTGGAGAGCAGCCTAACATCTATGGACTGGTTACCACAGCTCATCATGAGAGCAGCCATCCAAAAATCTGATGCGGCACAAAATGCACACGGAACAGGAATTTCTAAGAAGAATGCACTCCTTGACCCAAATACAACTCTAGACCAGGAAGAAGTTCAACAGCACAAAGATGGGAAACCTCCATATAGTTATGCCAGCCTCATTACATTTGCTATTAATAGCTCACCCAAAAAGAAAATGACTTTAAGTGAAATTTACCAGTGGATTTGTGATAACTTCCCATATTATAGAGAGGCTGGCAGTGGTTGGAAGGTAAGGATTTTATTTAAATTACTATTTTTGTGCATTAAGTAATGATAACAGTATTGAGTGCTGATGAAAGTAAAGCTTTGAGGAAGCTTATATAATTGAAGATGAAATTCTGATTGCTCTTCGTTTTTAGGATGTCAGAATGGAATGTTTAAATTTAGATGATTAAATATTTGGTAAACCATTATTAGAGTTTTATTGTATTATTAGACTAAGAGCAGACAATAAAAACAGTCAGAATATTATCTCCAGTAGCTCACAATGCCAACAGTTCAGATAAGTTGCTAGTGAGTCAAGGTAAAAAAAACAATATGGTGGTGTGACTAATACTGTTTCATCATTCATATATTTTTAAAAAAACTTTATTTTGAGTGAATTTTAGACTTACAGCAGTTACGTAAGTAGTACAGGAAATCTCTTGAACTGTATGCTTCATTAGTTTCCTATAATGTTAAGACTTTGCATAGCAATAGAATAATTAAAAAACCAAAAAAATAATATTGATGTATTATTGATTAGATGTTACTGTTTTTCCCTTCCCATATATAGTTTATTAGTAAAGTGGTACCTCAATTTATGAACTTAATTTTTTTTGTGATTGTGGAAAAGATGGCCATATTTGTTTGTATGGGAAAGATGGATGCGGTTGTGTTTGTCATCTGATGGAGAGTTTACAAACAACAGAATTTTACCAATGCTTCTGTTTGCAGTCAAATTGTTTGCAAACAAAAGCATTTATGAATTGGATACCAGTGTGTGTTATGTATTTTTTTTTTTTTTACAAAGTACTTGGTTTCATTGTGGCTTTTAAATATATACATATAACATTTTTATCATATCCATCCCTTCAGACATTAATATTAACTACTGAATAAACCATAGCTATTATTGACATTTCATCAGTTTTGCCACTTACGTTCCAGGATCCAATCCAGAATCTATATTGCATTTACTTGTCATGTCTCCTTAGACTCCTCCAATTTGTAAACGTTCTTCAGTGGCCCTTTTTTGGGGGATTCTTTTATGACCATGACACTTTTGATAAGTAATTGTTAGATATTTTGCAGTTTCTTAGATATTTTGCAGTTTCTCTCAGTGTGGATTTGTCTGATAACTTTTCATGATTAGATGGAGGTATACTGCATTTGAAGGGATGATAATATACTCTCTGCATGTCACATGGTACATAGTGTCAGTATGTCCTATTGGTAATGCTAATCATGGTTCTCTAGGTGATGTTTGCCAGGTTTCTTCACTGTATCACTGGAGAAGATACTTTCTTTGAGTGCCTGCAAATATCTTGTTTCTTCTTAAACTTTTGCCTGTTTTAGCATTCATTGGTAGGTAATAATTCAAGAAAAGTGTACTGTCTTCCAGTAATGACTTTTTTCCCATTTCTTCTATATTTATTAATATTCTTTCATAAGAGTTGTTTTGCTCTTCTTTGTTCTTTTATTTGTAATATGTTGTACTTAGGATATTTATTTTATCTTTGTGCTGTCACTGTCATTCAAATTGTAGCTTTGACCATTGTAAACTAGTACAGGTTGGTCCTATGCTTTTTTTTTAATTTGATGCCGCCTTCTTTTGTGGTACCAAGAGATGTTCTAGGATCACCTCATACCTTCTTTGTCCCAGCCCTGGAATCAACCTCTTCTTTAAGAAACTGATTAATATGGGGCTGGGGATTTAGCTCAGTAGCTAAGTGCCCGCCTTGCAAGCATGTGGTCGTGAGTTTGATCCTTGCTACCGGTCAAAAAAAAAAAAGAAACTGATTAATATACCATTATATTAGTTAGCTTATGTTGTGCAACAAATAATACAACTTACTTTGTTTTGTCTTAGCACGTTTTATTCATTTCTTATGTAGCATTACCCAGTTGTGTGCTATGTGACATATATCTGTGCATGTGTATTCATGTGGAGAATACAGTTTGAGGTATACATTTTCCAGATGATATTGTTTATTTTCTCTTAATCCTTCCTATTTTAATGTGTTTGTCTTATCATTTGATTACATTTATGAAAGACATTTGCTGATTGATCATGTGCTATTTGCTGTGACAGCTAATCACACGTCTTATGGGAAGGAATTGTAGCACACTAAACTTTTTGTGTACCTCTTTGTGTTTTCCATGCCTTAGCACACAGTGCTTTCTTTATAGTAAGCTTCAGTACATATGGTTGGAACTACATTATGATGACTACTTTCAATTGACCTATCTACTTTGTTTTGTTATTTTCATCTTATGCTCATTTTTCTTGTTCTTTCCTACTTACTAGTTACCTTGAGAAATAAACACTTAGATGTTTTGCTTTTGTTGTCCTCTTATTTCTCCTTAGATATTCTTTTGCCCTTCGTTGAGTTGGCATTACCCTGTTACTTTAGCTCATATATTAAATATGTATCTCTTTTTTGTGTATCCACATACCTTATTCAAACAGTACTGTAAAACTTAGGGGTGTTTTCCCTCAGAGATCTTATTTCAATAGCTTTTGTTTCTGAAGGTGAATATCCAAGTGGTAGTTGGATTTTCAGTTTTCTGTGTATCAGGAGCTATTCTGAGGGCTTTGTATCATTGTCTTAAACCACAGAGTAGTTTGTAGATATTATTGTTCACATTTTAAAGTTAAGGAAACTGAAGGTTTGAGAAGTTAAGTAACTGTTGAAATTCTCATCTAGAAAATGGTAGAGTCAAGATTTGGTGCCAGATATGGTAGATTTGGAGATTTCATTGCCCATGTTCTTAATCAGTAGTAAAAAAAATTTATTGAATTCAATTTGACAAAATAAACTCTTTTAATTGGCTCTCATAATATAAGAAGTGATTGTTAACAGTATACTTTAGGTAAGTGCATTTTACACACTGTCAGTGGAGGGGAAAAAATTTTTTTTTTATCTTTTTGAGACAGAGTAGCTCACGCTAGCCTTGGATTTGTGGCACTCCTCCTGAGTGCTGGGTTTATAGGCATTCATCACCGTGCCTGGGATTAATGTTTGACCCATTAAATAAGCCATTTGTGGTGCTTTGTCAGAGCTTTGTCTTTACTCCTAAGCATTATAGCTTTCTTTGGTCAGATTTGGGATGAGAGAGATTTTGATGACCTTGTTTGGCAATGGAAGAATATGATGATAAGAGAGTAGAAATGGCTAAACTTTGAATAAGAAAGCCCACCAGAATTCATTGGTCTTTGCTTCTGTCATTTATTTATTTGTAGTGCAAGAGATAGCAACCAGGACCTTGGAGATGCAAGAAAGGGCTCCACCCCTGAGCTATATTCCGGCCCATTTCATGAGTCTTTATCAGTGGCCGTAAACATAATAGGTGTAAATGCCTGACAGGTGAAGTAATGTAAAAAAGAACCAAACTGAAGAGTGCTTATCTAGTGTGAAAGGAGTAATTTTGTTCTCATTAATTCTTACCTTTCAGGGCATATGGCACAATAATTCCAATTTTTCTCCCAACAGAAGCAAAGCATCTGGATTTTTCTGTGTAATTTTTTAATGTTGCCAATTCTAGTTTTCTTAAATACTTACTCTATAGGTACTTAAAACATAAGTCTATTGTCTGTATTCAGCCTGTAGACTACTAATTGGGAATCTCTGATCTAAATCGTGTTCTCTTTTCAGCTAATTTATAGTTTTTCACTTACTAGATTGAAAAGATTTTCTGTTTGTTCTTGTGCAGTATTGTGCTATGCTTTACCCATACTAAGAAGCTTAGCACAGGGCTTCTGTTTCAGTTAACTTTTTTCTCATTGGTGAGACAAAATACCTGACACCCAAAATTAAGGAAAGGTTTGTTTAGCTCACAATTTGTTGAGGTTTCAGTCCATAATCATCTGACCCCAAGCGTGGCAGCAGTTCAGGCAGAAAAGACTACGACAGCAAAATCAGCAAAAGTGGGGTGGGATGAGCAATCCTCTTTCCCTTTCTTATACTGTAAGCAGACTACCTGAGCTAGGGCAAGTGTAGGACTCACACCATCTTAGTGCCCTCCTTTTGTATAGGATGAGAATGTTTACAGAGTAAGAGCCTGACCCTTTACTGAGACACTTAGCTAAACTTGTAAACTTCTCAAGTTGACACAATTTATCAACCATTACAGTGCCTAAGGGAGTCCATAATCTTTATTGGGTCAAGAAGGATACATGTAAACTAATTATAATGTTGTATCAAAAGCTGTTTAATAGAGTAATGTGGAAAGCTATTCTATAAATAGTTGACTGGGCACACCTGTGTGTGGGTCATAACCAGTATGTCCATTATTTAAGCAATCTAGTAAAGATGTTAACTGAGGGTACAGTCAATGAGAGGTTATAAGGGAGTATGATGAAGTTCTAAAGTGAATGGTTTCATGTACAAAAACCAAACTGCACAAGATGTTCTTCAAAGAATCAGCCAGTGGGATCTCTTATTAAAAAGTTTTTGTATACCAAAAGAAATCACTAACAGAGTGAAAAGACAACCCACAGAACAGGAAAAAATTTTAGCCTCTGTCCCTCGGACAGAGGACTTCTGTCTAGAACATATAAAGAATTGAAAAAAAATCAGGCCCCTCAAATTCAAAGACCCAGTCTAAAAATGGGCATCTGAGATGAATATACATGTCTCAAATGAAGAAATAATAAATGGCAGATAAATATATGAAAAAACATCCAACATTATTGAATGCAGATTCTGCCTCACCCCAGAGAGAATGACTGTCATCGAGGAATTAACCAGTAACAATTGCTGGTGGGGCTGTGAGAAAAAAGGAATCCTTTTCCACTGTTGGTGGGAATGTAGAGTTGTACAACCACTGTGGAAATCATTGTGGAGATTGCTCAAAAAACTAGGATTGTATGCCTCCTATGACCCAGCTATTTCTCTTCTGGGTATTTTCCCAGAAGAATTAAAAACATCATACGACAGCTATATATGTGCACCAATGTTTATAGCAGCACAATTTGAACCAGCTAAATGTTGGAAACAATCTAAACACCCACGATCCGAGGAATGG